ATGTGACAAAGTGAGTGTTAAAAATCATTTTAAGACGTCATAAATAGAACGAGGCATCAGTTTACTGTCGGGGATGTGTCGTGTTGTGTCACATCCAGTGCAAAAAGTCACTGATTATAATGGTTTCTAAAGTATTTTGTCGCACTGCTCGCGTCCAATGTAAACACGGTACGCCTAGTTATCTATTGTGGTAATTTGCAGGTCGTGTCAAAAAGTTGTTGGTTTAGATAAATAGCTGTATTCTGTACGTTTGACTCGTGTACGATAATTTTCTTCCAAATACGATAAATCTGAGCTTTTGGTATGATACTTGGACATTTCCAATCTGGCAACACTGCTCCGCGCTCATAAACTCTGCTTTATCAGGAATTATAGGCAAAATGAAATTCAAATGCCAACGACACGTTTCTGAGGACAGTCGGTTCCCTTCAGATACATTCAAACTGCAGCGCTCATATTTATTCAATGACATCATTGCCTTTTGAAGTTTAATCCAGCCATATCGCGACTCTTGTCTTTCCGTCCCCAACTGTAAGACCTCTTGAAATTATAATTAAGACATTTCTTATACCATTTAACGTATTCCAAACTTTTTATGGCCTTAAGTTTGATACAACACTCACTTTAGGAGTTTTTAAGGACTGGGGAGATCTGCATCTAAGGTAAGTTAGCCCGTCGGGCAGAGTGGTGATACATTTTGGTAGCCCGACTGGAAAACACAATAGCCCCGGGACGTCGGGCTAGTGATTTTGCAAGCCCTGCTTTTATTCAGCAAGGATGTGTTAAATGGATAAAAAGTGATAGTAAAGACTTAGATTGTTAGAAAAAAAATCTTTTTATTCATCAAAGAATCAAAGAAAAAAGTATCACAGGATCCAAGGAAATATTAAAGCACAAGCAGCACAACAGTTTCAACACTGATAATAAATCGGCATATTAGAATGATTTCTGAAGGATCATGTGACACTGAAGGCTGGAGAAATGGCCGATGAAAATTCAGCGCTGCGTCGCAGAAATAAATTATATTTTAAAGTATATTAAAATAGGAACCCAATAGTAGAAATTTCACAATATTACTGTTTTTTCTGTATTTTGATCAATATTATTTTTGACTTTCCTTTCCTGTATTTTGACTTAATGAGCCTAAGAGACTGCATTAAAAAACATTAAAAATCTTATTGATCCCAAAACTTTTGAAAAGCTGAGTACACTTTTAAAATGTAATTTATTCCTGTTATGACAAAGCTCACTTTTCAGCAGCCATTCCTACAGTCTTCAGTGTCACATGATCATTCAGAAATCATTCTAATATCATAATTTGGTGTCCAAGAAACATTCTTCAATGTTGAAAACCGTTTTGCTACGTAATATTTTTCTAAAAAAACACAGGGTTTTGCACACGCTTCCCTTCCTCACTTATGCTGTGCAGTTTATTGCCCTCTTCCAAAAATCCTTCCAACACAACCATCCCACTGTGACATACTGAGCCCTCAGCGGCCAGACCCAACGGTCCAAATGTGAGTCATCCTTCAGAGTGCACATGCTTTGCAAGATATACTTGTCCAAAAGTAACAGTGAGGAGGGGGAGAGAGAAGAAATTAGGTCACTGCTGGAAAACCAAAAAGATGAACTAAACACGCAGAGGAGACTTCAGACGCTGAGAGTCCACCAGATCTGCTCAAAGAAAGGTGGCAGAAGGGAGACGGGAGAAAAATCATACAACACGCAGAAACCAGAGAGATGATAAAGCCAAGAGAACCATAAAGGTTCTCCATATCTGATGGAGGAGAGGCCGGAAAAACAACTGATAGGGAGAGAAACTGGAGAAATCCCATTAATGGGTCAGGATGTGAATGCAGACAGAGAAGGAGAGCAGGAGACACGGGGACCCTGTAGGGTTGTGACGGTGAGGAAATTTTCCCACCGGTTAATCGACGTGTGACAACACCG